TTGTAAGTATGGATGGATGTTTGTTACTCATTCACGGAAAAACTACTGAACGGATTTTGATGAAACTGTACAGTAATATAGATTATACATCAGACTACTCGTAACATATAGACTATAAATTTCTGGCGGATGAAACCGCGGGCACAGCTAGTATGTAAATAAATGATTATATTTATGTTTTAATGCTTTTACGCAATTGGCAATGGTGACGATGTCAAGTGATTGTCGGTAAATGGTAAACGTCACCTACATACATATATCACGTTATCATGTGACAATCGTGTTATCACTCCAGAGAACTAATATGTCATGCCTCTTAACTTGTAATTTCTCTGCCTATTCTACACCCTACAACAGAAACAGCTTACAAAGCTAAGCTAAGCTAAAATTTGTGAGACTGAGGTACCCAAATAGACGTCTTTTTATAGTCTTGTTTATTTATTTCAAACAAAACTTCAAATCAGGAAAAATATAAAATTAAAACATTGCTTAAATATAATGAGATCTTGTGTGCAAACTCCTTAAATCCCTTACAGTTCGGTTGGATGCACGTCGATGGTCCCAGGTTCAGAGCTCAATGATAATCTGGTCTAACATGCCGGCCTCATCGTGCAGGGCTATCTACCGCATATTTATGTATAGAAGTTAGTTAACTTTATAAGTAAATATATATACTTTTATGTATCTTGTTTAACAAAATCAGTATATTTATACTGCTTAAGTTTCAAGTCCCATTTTTTCTCGTTAGTCTATACATAAAACATAATCTGGACTTATTTATGTGTAATCTTAACACATATACAGACAAATATTCGATTTTCCCCTCGTTACAAATTTGCAATTTTATTATAAGTAAAGAAATGAAAAGAATAAATAAGAATAAAGAATAGCCAAGCCATTTGGGCCAACTTAACTTAAAATAAAAAGATAGAATAGTTATTATTAACCTATATCATAACATAATATTACTCTGCAATATATGTATATATTATAGTCTATGACATGTCTATGTTCTATGTTTTCTATATGTGTCTCTTGATGGTAAAAAAAAATCACAAATTTTAGAATTATAGCTAGTTTAGTCTAAGTCTAGTCAGCTAGTCCTGATAGCTACCTGGCAGCCATCCCGCGCAACTCGCGCGATGTTGGCTTACTTGAAATTTATCATTATATATTTCGCCCAATTTACATATTTTTAAATTATAACATAGGTGTTATTGTGATGTATAAGCTATATTCCTGTAAAATGTCATCCAACTCCGTGAAAGATAACAAACATTCGTCCATACTCACAAACTTTCACGTTTATAAAATTAGTCAAATAAGACTGTTCCATTTTGATGACGTTAAAACTAAATTATAACTATACACATAGAGCTCATATACACTCGTAACAGTATACTTCTACTATCCGCAGAAAGATTTCAGTTTTAAATAATAGGGTACAAGCACCAACCCTACCAATGCCAGAACTTTAAAAAAAGCCGGGTGACTCAACAAGTTTTCACACAGCAGACGACAGCGACTCCACATCTCTTTGAGAAGTCAGAACAACTACCTATGTTTCTATGGAGGAAAGGACCTTCGAAATTATCAACAAATATTTTGTACTAGCTGTGCTGTGCGACTTCGTTCGCGTGTTACAGTGATCTTGATCAAATAAAGAAAAAATATTCAATAATCTAACCTAAAAAATAGCGGGAAATTTTCATCGTAATAGCTTCAAAAATGGCGTATTTCTGTGCAGACTTCGTCGTCTATTTTATTTTATACTTTGAATGTCATATTTGATTACATTGAATCAACAGCCTAAAAAATAATTTTCATGCTTGTAGCTTAAAAATGACAATTCTTCCATACAATCTTTCATCTTCCCTTTGAACCTCTTACAACCGATTTTTCGCATTAAAAAGTAGCCTATGTCCTTTCTCAGGATCGAGACTATTTGTGTATCAAATTTCATGTTAATCGGTTCAGTAGTTTCGGCGTGAAAGCGAGATAGATAGACAGATAACTTTCATAAATTCATCATTGTGGGAAAGATAAAAGGAAAGAGGGGAGAAGAAGACCAAGGCACAGCTATATCAAGCAAATGAAAGACTTGTAGTCGTGTTGTATCAAGTGTCCTAACATTTTTCCTCGTCTCTAGTATTCAATATCTACCATTTTTTCTTTTAGCCTGTGCAATACTTCTTCATTTCTAAAAAATAAAAAATCACACAACTTTATACTATGTTGATTTACTCATCTATACATATAAATAAAATTAGAGTGTCTATTTGTAATATTGAAACAACCGTTTTTTACTACATGCATATAAATACATACACCAAAATAACATTTTTTACAATTTTGGCTATCTGTCTGTCAGTCTGTTTGTTCCGGCTAATCTCTGAAAGGGCTGGACCGATTTTGACAGGACTTTTTTGGCAGGTAACTGATGTAATAAGGAGTAACTTAGGCTCCTTCTATTTTAGAAAAATAAAGTTAAATTCCACGCGAACGAAGTCGCGGGTGTAGCTAGTTTATAATATAGATGTGTCTGATACAACCTCCAGAGACCCGATTTTATGTAATCCGGTGTGGTCATTAAAACGGCCATATGTAGGTACACTTAATTACATACTAAACATTGTACACAACCGTATTTCTTCTCTTACGAGTAATAAACATAGTCCACTACACTAACTTACACTATCTGCTTTAAAAACACACGTATAGTACTTAGACATAAGGTTCATAATAGCGTTTCAAGGTTTACAAGTAAATTTGTCGTCTTTGGAGTGTACAAATTTATTTTTGCACTCATACTGGTGTTTTACAAAGGATTTTCGACTTTATTTCTGTGGATTCACGGCTTAGATTAGTTTTACAAATTAAGTGTGTAGGAAGGCAGCTAGAACTATAAAAGGTTTATGCATTTCAGTCCTGCAGACGTAAAGATGGCAGGCCTCCTTTACCGGACAATTAATTTGTCAAATGAATTATAAAGAAGGACACTAGTAATTCCACTGATTAAGGCTTTGTACTCATTAATTAAGGCACATTGTTTAGAGCTATCGCAGACAGTATACCGATGTATTATGTAACAATTTGAAATCTACAGATTCCAAAAAGAAAATCATATCTAAATATACATATATAACTCAAATGTGACTGACGTAGTGATCTATCAACGCACAGCCCAAACCACTGGACGGATCGGACTGAAATTTGGCATGCAGGTAGATCTTATGACGTAGGTATTAATCCGTTAAGTAAGGATTTTAATTAATTTTACCCCCAAGGGATAAGATAGGGGATGAAAGTTTGTATGAAACTTTGTCAATTTTAAACCGATCGGGCTGAGACTTTGCATGCATAAAGCTACTATAACGTAGGCATCCCCTAAGAAAGGATTTTGATAAATTCCACCCCTAAGGGGATAAATTAACGCGAGCGAAGTCGCGAATAAAAGCTAGCTCTATAATAATTATCTATGACAAAAATAAATTTTATTTCTATTTCGAACTCTGAATATCTGTCAGAGTTTAAATTAAATTTTTAAATTTCGAACACTAAACGAATGTAACATAAATGAAACAGATTAGTGTAATATTCCATTAATTATGGAAAATTTGGAACTATAATTCAATATTTGAAAAAGAAAACATGAATTGAACGAATGAAAGTGTTTTTTTATTTAAAAAAAAAATGAGATTAAATCAACCGAAGAACAGGCTGTGTAGATTAAAACGCAGAGTTAATTGCTCTGTGTAATTTATATAAATAATTAATAACCTCTTACTATACAATACTTCTTATATGTATATACAGATTTTAAAAAAGTTCACCTACAGATACTTCAACAGCGAATAATATAGACCATATTTCACTTTGGCAACACTGCGTAACACGACTACTTGAAAATAAATAGCAGTTAGTTGTATTATTATATTTCAAGTTTACAAATGTAACGTGGATTATAAAATTATAATCCAATTGTACCTTTTATTAATACCAAATAAAATATATACAATTTCCTTGAATTATAAAATGAAACAACTAAAAATATACGTCCGTGTCATTAGAAGATAATAAGATTCGGGCAGGAAATATTCGCGCGGAGTCTGCAAACAAACAGAGCCCGGTATCTCGTGCAGTGTTTTTCATAAGCCGTGATACCTGCTCCTTGGGATAAAGTACAGATTAACATAAGAATTACAGCTGTTTAATTTTTGTTAACACCGTCGAATTTATTTTTTGTTTTCCTCCTTGCTAATCCACTCAGATTTTCATTGTAAGTGAATTCATTTCCATGTATACTTACCAAATCAAATTTGTTAGAGCTACAATGAGAATCTCTGGAAGTTTTAAATATTCGTTTACCTATATTTAGAATACAGTTTTTAGTATGTTCTTTGTATAAATTTGTTTTATATATTACATCTGTCACTGCACTCTGACGTTCTAAACGTATAAAAACATCTCGATTTCTTTCTGTTTCAATAAGAATGTTTTACAAACTTCATAGGTAATACAGCCTTCATTAGAGGTGGTCGCAGGTTCGATTCCTCGCATGGTAGGTACAAATATTTGTAGTTATGAGTATGATTATTTATATCTGTACGGGTATCTATTCCCCGTACTTGTTTGTAAGGTTGCGGGTGCAGGTGGAAACAAGAAAGACAAGTGTAAGTATCCTCTCGAGCAGAGTTCGGTGGTCTGTACTAGCGATGGAAGCGGAATGAATTGTGCCGCGTTCGGCACCTATATTTATACTCCGCCCGCTCGCACCGTGTCACGTACTAGGTAACGATTGTGTTACGCACATAGGTGCGAGCGGGACGGAGAGCGCGAAAGACCACCTCTACTCGCTCCTTTATTTATTAATTTAAACTTTACATACAATACTATTTAATTCTACCTATTAGGGAATTGAAACTACTACAATTATAAATTTTATTAAGCTAACAATAATCAAATATGTACAATAGTCGCGAACATATCTCCCGCCGCAGCTAAGCTGTATTTAATTCGAGTTCGCGTTGCTCGATTGGCAGGATTACTAATTTCTTCGTAGGTCGCCGAAGTATCCCCTTGTTAGTGCGCACGTCGACCGCCCGTATTTCACCATCCGGTCCCGGATACGTAGCCACCACCACGCCGCGCGGCCAGGAGTTCCGAGGCAAGTTGCCGTCTGCCACCAGCACCAAGTCTTCTAACTTGATGACTCCGTGTGTAGCTCGGGGCTCCCGCCGGTGTTGTAGCTGGGGTAAATATTCGGTTACCCAGCGCCTCCAGAAGCAGTCAGCGAGCCACTGACTGGCGCGCCACTCCTTCCTGCCCGCCGTATCGCCCTCAGCGAAAGCTCCCGGCAGTGGTACGCGGGACGGACCTCCCAATAGGAAGTGGTTGGGGGTGAGTGCGTCCTCGTCGTCTGCTGATGTCGACACGTGGGTGAGAGGTCGACTGTTGAGCGTGTGTTCTACTTCCACCAGCAGGGTGAGAAGGACTTCTTCTTTCGGGGCTCGTTCATGCAGCGTTGCGGCCAGCGCGGTTTTCACGCTGCGCACTAGTCGTTCCCAGGCGCCGCCCATGAAGGGAGCGCTCGGTGGTATGTAGCGCCAGCGTATAAAGCGCACCGACGACTCTTCTTCCATGGCTTCAGCGGCTGCTTTCTTCATCTCGAGGTCGGCACCCTTGAGGTTGGTGCCTTGGTCCGACCACAGCTCCGTGGGGCACCCGCGGCGGCTTATAAAGCGCCGCAGAGCCATTACTGCGGAGTCGGTGCTGAGGCTGCCGGCGATCTCCAGGTGCACAGCCCTCGTGGTGAGACATGTGAACAGCACGCCGTACCGCTTCTGATGCGTGCGACCCACCGTCACTGTCATCGGCCCGAAGTAGTCTAGGCCGGTGAAGGTGAACGGCCGCTGATGATGTGCCAGCCTGCTGCGTGGGTGGTTGCCCGTTGATGGTTGTGCTGGTGCTGCTTTCCTGATGCGGCACGTTTGGCATCTCTTCAATTCACTACGAACGGCATGTCGTAGGCGCAACACCCACATGTGTTGACGCACCTCGTTCGCAGTGGTTTCGAAGCCCCCGTGATGAAGTTTTCTGTGCACCCATGCTATGTACAGGCGTACCCATACATGTTGACCGTCGACTATGGGTGGTTCCCGTTGCTCTGCGGACAGATCGGCGGCAGCCGACACCCTTGAGCGGAGTCGCAGCACATTGTCTTTGTCGATGAAAATGGACAACTGTATAAGTCGACTACTCGACGGCAGTTGTTTATTGCGTCGCAACGCCGCTATATCGATGCTGAATGCCTCTTCTTGTATTGAGCGGATCCATAGCCGACGGGCGCGTTCTAAGTAGTGTGTATCTATGGGTATATAACACACAGGCGCACGTACGTTTTTTCTTTTCGACGGTCCTGGTTTTCTTATCTTGTTGCTTCGCCACGTGGGATCGTCTTCATGTTTTTTGTTTCTCTTGTGGGTAGCGACGGCGCAGTGTTGCTTGAGTGGTCGTAACTTATCTATAAATTGCAATACGCGGGCCGTACTGCGGACGATCTTCATCCAGTCGGAGAATCGCGCGGGATCGGGCAACGCTCGAGATAATCGTGTTGCATCTTGTATTGTGTGGGCGCGCTCTTCGCTTGTATTTTCCGTCTGGTGGGAATCGTCTTCATGAGGCCACTCTTCTTCTGGTCGATATAGAAACTGCGGCCCCCGGAACCATCTGTGTGTTGAAGTGAAGTGGTGTGGCACGTCGCGTGTGGCATCATCCGCGACGTTGTCGGCCGTCGGCACCCATCTCCACTCGTTCGTTTTCGTATCTTCCATAATTTCAGCGACTCGGTGAGCGACGAAGGGCTTGAATGCACGCGGCCCGGTGCGTAACCAAGACAGTACGGTACGCGAATCCGACCAGTAGACACGACGGGCAGGTTTCAAATCGTGTTCTTCGACAGCCGTGCGTGACAGGCGGCTCCCTAGTACGGCCGCTTGCAGCTCCAGGCGTGGTATAGTGGTGACCTTGTTCAAAGGGGCCACTCTTCCCTTGGCTGCGATGAGTGACACACGCACCTCGCCGGTCACGCATACGGCCCGCCAGTATACGACACAGGCGTATGCATCTGAGCTCGCGTCGACGAATGTGTGAAGCTCCGTCGTATGTGCCGTCGCCACACCGGGGTAACACCGTGGTATTACCAAGTGGGGTAACTGCTGTGCGTGCGATATCCAGCTCCGCCACGCTGCTGCTTCCCGTTCTTGCAGTTCGGTGTCCCAGCCGATACCCGTGCGCCATGTTTCTTGTAATATCTTCTTGGCTTGTATTGTGACGGGTGTGGCCAGGCCCAATGGGTCGAACAGCGACATAACGGCGCGGAGGGCTTCTCTCTTCGTTGGGGTGCGTTCGCCTCGTATGATGTGTAACGGAAGTTTGTTCCCGTTGAAGTTGAACCCGAGACTGTCTTCCTCAGGCCGCCACACCATTCCCAGTATCTTCTCAGCGTCGAGTTGCACCATGTTCTCTTCATTTCTATGTGAGAACTCTTCTCGTACATGGCGCGAGTTCGATGCCCAGCGCTGAAGATAGTAGTTCGCCCGGCTGTGGATGTAGGCGACCTCGCTTGAGACTCGTACGGCTTGCTCTTCAGTGTCGAAGTTAGCGAGGTAGTCGTCAACATAGTGATTGACAACCACCGCTGCAGCCGCCTCCGGGAACTCTTCTTTATGTAGTTCGGCGTTCTTGTTCTTCACGTATATCGCCGTGCATGGCGACGAAGTGGCCCCGAAGATGACGCTCTTCATCCTATATTCGACAGCTGGACCCTGGCGTCGATCTCCTCTCCATAGAAACCGTTGCATGTCTCGGTCTTCTTCTCGTATTGTGACACGCATGAACATATCCTTGATGTCCGCTGTGACCGCCACACGGCGCTGTCGGAACCTCATGAGGACCCCAGGTAGTGATTGGAGTAGGTCGGGTCCCGACAGCAGCATGTCGTTGAGACTAATGCCCCTTGTCTTGGCGGCGGCGTCGTGCACGATGCGCAGCTTGTCCGGTTCTGTGGGTTGATGACAGCGAAGTGTGGCAGGTACCATACTCGTTCAGTCTTCACCGGTGGGGCGATTTCTGCATATCCCCTTTCTAACAGCGTGGTAATTTGCTGTTTATATCTGTTCTTCATGTCTTCATTCTTGTCGAGTTTTTTCTCAATTAACTCGAGGCGTCGCATTGCTGAGTCGTAGTTAGCCGGCGGCGTTGCGTTGTCGCGTTTCCATAGCAACGCGGTCTCGTAGCCTCCCGCCGGTAACGGGCGAGTTTTTTCCTGCAATATTTTCAGCGCGCGTTGTTCCTCTTCATTGTATGAGCGCTTCGGTGTGACGCCCAGTGATTCGAGAGCGAAGTGTTCTTTCATTAATCGCTCTATGGATTCTTCATTTTCTTGCCCGTCGACTAAGTGACTGATTCTGTGCACTTGCTGTCTCGCTCTCGCCGCTCCCGTGCCGTGCAACACCCAACCCAGGTCGGTGAGTGATGCGACCGGTTGTGTCTTATTGCCTCTTCTGACTTCATGTGCGAGCAGCAAATGCCAGTTGTCTTGACCCAGCAGAACCGTCGGTTGACCTTCTTCATATGTCAGCTGATCTATTATATCGTACAAGTGTGGACAGTCTTCTATTGCGCTGCGTGATACTGTTTGTGGAGATAACAGTAGTTTCTTCATGGTTCGCGCAGACACGGCATGATCTTCCGATCTTCGTCCCCGTATTGTGAAGTGGACAAGCTTCGATTCATCGGCGTTTATGCGTGTCCCGGCCACGGCCTCTATGTAGAAGGGTGCGGGAGGGCCAGTGGCGCCGATTTGCTTCGCTGTTGCTTCTTCGATGATGGTGCACGTTGCGCCGTCGTCCAGGAGTGCGTATGTATCGCACGTTCCTTTGGGACCGATCACTTGTATCGGCACTATCTTGAGGAATGCGATCTTCTTATCTTCTCTCGCAGACGCGACGACTGCGGCTGCTTTATCATCGGAGGGCTCGCTGTCCTTCTTCTCTATGGTGTCGACGTGCAGGAGTGGGTGATGTAGGTGTGTACACCCACCAACGTTGCATCTCTTCGTCTTGCAGTTGTGACGAAATCTTTTTATCCTCAGGCAACGGAAACATAGCCTGTGTTTTTTTGCTATCTCCCATCTTGTTTGTGGCTCGGCGTTCTTCACAGTGATGCAATCGGGTGGTGCGTGTCCCTCCCTGTTGCACGTCGGACACGGCGGTGAAGTCGGTTTCTCCTGCGTGATGTATGTTTTCACGCTTCTCTTCGTTGCTGGCTCCCGCCGGTCTTCATTTACTATTACTTCGGCGGGTGCGAAGTCACCGCACCTGGCTGCGGTGATTTGCAGGAACTTGGAGAGCGTTATTAGGTCCGGTTGATCAGCTGGCTGTTCTGCTACGAAGTCGTAGTATTTGAATCGTAGCGCAGAAGGCATCTTCTCCGTGATGGATCTTGTCACTTCTTCGTTGTACAAATAGTGGTTCTTCTTCAGGGCTTGAATTGTTGCAGTGACATTGGCTATTCTGGATGCGAATAGACAGATGTCCTTGGGGTTGTCTGACAGCCGCGGCAGCGCACGAAGTTTATTCATCTCGGCCATCACGAGTGCTCCTGGACGGCCGAACCTCGTAGCAAGTAATTGTATTACTTCTGCTGCAGACGTATCCCCAACGAAAAGACAGTGTGCAGCCTCTTTGGCCGCACCCTTTAAACACCGACGTAATCTACCCAAGTTTTCTTGCTCGGTCAGCTGCCCCGCAGACTCTTCGTAGGCCATCTTCCAGGGCAGCCATTCGCTTGACGCGCCGTTGAAGGGTGGTAGTTCTGTGACTCGCGGCACTGTGGAGGGCTGAATTGCGCGAGCTGCCATAGTCATTGCAGTCGCCAATTCCTTATAGTCGATGCCCCCTTCAGTGAATCCTCTTCTTTCTTCGTTGGCATCATCGGTGCTATGGAGTCTTCCCTCGGACCGTTGTGGCTTGCATGGTCCCGTCGGAATGCGTCGCTGCACGGCTGCGGCTGCGGCGCTTTCGTTCCCTCTCCGGCGGGTATCGATGAGATATTAATCCCCTGATGCAAGTCGGCGGTCGTCCTCTCTGTGTGCGGCTCCATTGTGAGTGCCAATGTGCTCGTCCGGCGAATCCAGTCCGTAGTCCTCTCTCTTCTTAATGTGGCGGCGTCCTCTTCATTTTCGTCCTCCTCTTCGTCGTCCGTGTCTGCTTCCAATGCTGCGACGCGTGCGGCGGCCAGTTCTACCTCCTTGCGTAGCAATTCTTCTCTGGCTTTAGCCAATTCTTTCTTCTTTTTTGAAGCTGTGGTGCGCGGCGCCCTTGGAATTGTTGTGGTAGTCTCCGCGGAAGTCTCCGTGGTAGCAGTAGGTTCCGAGGACGTGTACGTCGTGGTGGTCGACGTAGTGGCGGCAGCAGGCGACGTAGTGGCGGCGACGGTCGGCGTGGCGGCGACAGGCGACGTGACGGCGGCGGTGTTTTCTTCGTTTGATTGAGCTTCCATGGCTGTTCTTTGGCTTCTTGTTGTTGGCATCTGTGATCTTGATCTCTGTGCAGTCTTGCTTTCTTCTTCCAACAATCCGGCTTCTCGAAGGACCAGATGGTCTTGCTTTCTTCTTCCAACAATCCGGCTTCTCGAAGGACCAGATGGTCTTGCTTTCTTCTTCCAACAATCCGGCTTCTCGAAGGACCAGATGGTCTTGCTTTCTTCTTCCAACAATCCGGCTTCTCGAAGGACCAGATGGTCTTGCTTTCTTCTTCCAACAATCCGGCTTCTCGAAGGACCAGATGTACGGGTATCTATTCCCCGTACTTGTTTGTAAGGTTGCGGGTGCAGGTGGAAACAAGAAAGACAAGTGTAAGTATCCTCTCGAGCAGAGTTCGGTGGTCTGTACTAGCGATGGAAGCGGAATGAATTGTGCCGCGTTCGGCACCTATATTTATACTCCGCCCGCTCGCACCGTGTCACGTACTAGGTAACGATTGTGTTACGCACATAGGTGCGAGCGGGACGGAGAGCGCGAAAGACCACCTCTACTCGCTCCTTTATTTATTAATTTAAACTTTACATACAATACAATTTAATTCTACCTATTAGGGAATTGAAACTACTACAATTATAAATTTTATTAAGCTAACAATAATCAAATATTTACAATAGTCGCGAACAATATCTGTTTGGATATTTTCTATGTGTATTATGTATGTATGTGTAAAAGACATATTTAAGTATTTTTATCAGATTTCTAAGACGGAAACAAGCTCCGCTTAGCTTGGCTAGATAGCGCTGTGTGAATAGTCCTGAGATATTATTATTATAAGTCTTTATACTTACTCATGATGTTTGCTATAGGGACGGCATTTGATTGCACTTTGTTAACTTTTGTTTATAAAGCAAAGTCGTTACTCACTAAACGATTACTTGAATGACGAGCGTGCATAACAATAGTTGTTCGTGCACGGGATTTTCATTTAATAATAGACATAGACATAGACACCTAATGTAATGTAAATTTAACTCTATTTTCACAGTCGCTACCTGCCTCTCATCTGGGCCGTTGTGCGTGTAGAGCCGAGACTACTAGAGTAGCTAGCCCAGCTGCTCCCAAAAGCGCAGAAGTCTCCTGGTATCTTCACAGACTTCACGGAGCGACCTCACCGATCCGAAGATTCGTTTTCGTTGTATGGATACTGCACTCCAGGATTACGTGAGCAGCCGATTCTTCGGCTTCAAAGCAGCCCCGACAAAGGGGACTGTCTGAAGCGACTATGTAAGTATCTATACATTCAAATATAAATGACTGGCTTTTTAAAAAAAATAAGAAATTCAATAGATTTTCTTGCCGATTCTTCTCAATTGGATCTGTATACTGAACTGGACGGTAGGGAAAACTTTATAATATAAATAATTTGACGTCCATAGATAAGCGGCTAAAATGTCCATTTTAGCCGCTTATGAATAAATGATTTTTTGAATTTGAATTTGAATAGGTAAATGTTTTCCTAACAATTTTGGACACGAAAATTGCCCTAATAAACATTTAGTTGTTTACAACGGAAACCGAAAAATATACCTGTGAGAATAATTCCGAACATTAAGTATACATTAACTGCAAAACATACGGCCGAGACATAATGTGTTCTGGTAGAAATGAAAAATGGTTAACAGGAAAAAGCAGTAATTATTTGTTGCTAAACCAAATTTAATGCCGCCCCCGCACCCCCGCACCCCCGCGCACAGTCCTCACGGCCGTAATAAAAACGTAATTAATCGAGCAATTTTTTTTTTGAGGCAAAATTAAAAATGTCACAGCGCTGAATTACTCCGGGACGAATAAATATATATTCCCCCATAATTATTGCTGTGATTTTTGCGAGCGGATGCGGGAATAAACGTAAACAATGTGCTTTTGGTAAATATCAAAACTGAAGATATTTTTTTATTGCTTATATCTGTTTCAAAGTTAATTATATTGTTATACGAAATAATAATTAACTGTTCTTCAAATAGCTTTTCATTTCTAAATTAATATTACAAAGAGGAAAAAATTATTTTTTCCGTTAAATCTTTCATGTACAGAAAGCTACGTTAATATATTTATATTTTATTTAAAAAAAAGTATCATAACACTAGGACTGTTATTGTATGTATATTATCTATATATATACATATAAATAAAATTGGAGTGTCTGTTTGTAATATTTAAATAACCGTTTTTTACTACATGCATAGGAATATAAATGCGGTACATACACCAAAATAACATTTTTTACAATTTTTGTCTGTCTGTCTGTCGGTCTGTTTGTTCCGGCTAATCTCTGAAATGGCTGGACCGATTTTGACGGAATATTTTTTGGCAGGTAACTGTTGTAATAAAGAGTAACTTAGG